GGGGGGTGTTCTCATTTGATATACCAGAATCTCAGCAGTCTGAGCCCCATACATCCTCGTATTATTACATCATAACTACACTAATGTGTCATGTCTCGCGAATGACACAAGCCCACGCAAACATACAGCATAATAATATAGCAAAGTACAACTGCACCAGCCAAAAATGATTACAGCCAATACGCTAACAAAATGCAAACCTAACCAGGTCCTACATCTAAGAGGGGATTGCAAATGTGAGAAAACCCATTGAATGTTGCATAAATCTATCTATCTATCTATCTATCTATCTACGGTATTTAATAATAATAATAATACATTTTATTTGTAGGTGTCCTTCAAGACACTCAAGGACACCTTACAAACACATTAATCAAGTCACAATATGGAATAAATAAAAGTAAATATTTGTTAATATCTACTAATATATCTACTGTATATATCCCTCTGCCCACTAAGGTGGCAGGGAGTTCCACCCAGTGCTTCTCAGTCACAGATGGGGAATCCCTGGGGGATCATAATGTCATCATACAGGAAGACAGAGTCGCCCTGGTTACAGTCTGCAGGGTCTGCAAATGTTACTGCTAATTAAAACCGAGAAGCTCTAAGGAGGGATGGCTCAGACTGACAGGCTAGGAGGCGATGAGCACAGCCAGTGGATAGAACACCCACAGACTCCGCATGGAAAGGACTGTGTTTATTGTGCTGCCTGTGCCGTCTTAAACACACTGCATGCACGCATGCATAAACCTAATACACACACACACAAGTTGGTCTTCCTATCTAAATGGGGACCGTCCATTCATTTCTATGGGAAAAACCATAATCCCAGTCATGACACCCTCAACCCCTACCCACCCCTAACTTTAACCATAAGTAACCAACCCAAATTTGGCCACTTTTGGCATTTTTACTTTTTTGATTGCATTCACAGATTTTTATACAACTGAGGTTATACAAAAGGGGACCTCAAAAGATGTCCCCAAAAGTAGGGAAATTTAAGGTTTTACTACACTTTGGGGACAATTTGGTCCTCAAATGTGATCTATGCAAACCCACACACACACACTTCCCTAGGTAATTCTCTTCCTGTCAATTACACTCAGTTGAGAATAAGATTTCACATGATGCTCTCACTTTGGGTTTCATAGACTCCAATGCACGCTGCCTCACATACAGTATCAGTTTCTACCTCACACGAATGTCAGGATTCACCCACATATGAACTAATATGGAGCAATTACTGCATCACCAGCTGCATATGCTGGGGGGCTGGGGGTGGACCAGCCCCCCCTGCCGTGACATCTGCTATGCTGTATGCTGACTGACATCACAGAATGACAGTCTCACCATTCAGTCCTCAAGGAAATTGAGACAGGTTAGACTGCAGCTGGCCTGTTAAACGTGAACCGCTGCCACAAAACCAAATGTCTCGAAATGTTCCAGAATTGGGCACTGGTATCACAGTAAACATCTTAGGTCATTTCAAGGATCACTCACACCAGTGGAGAGCATATCATGTCTAATTCAGGTGCTCTGTTAGAGTAAAGACAATGAAACTGCACAACAATGATCTGTAAACTATAAATTGTTAAATTTTGAAAGTAGAGGGAAAGGAGAGCAAAAATGTATCTGTATCTCCCATTTAGTGGTGTAGTCCTCTTGCATCTCAGTTATTTAATATTAACTCCAACCAAAGATTCTGAAGATATGATTTTCTAACAAAGATTCTGGCACAGAAAATTCTCCCTCTGAAACGTTTTAGTCATCTCCTGCAAATTCGGGAGTTCCTAGGGGCTGTTGTAGGAACCACCAACTGTGGCCTGCTGATTGGCCCTTTCTGGGGCAAGTATTTTTAGTCCCAGTCCCAGAATTACTTCCTCAGATGCCTAAAGAAGGTCCAGATGATGTCAGCGGCATTCACTGACTTCTACAAATGCTTGATGGAATCCATTCTTACTAGAAGTATTACATCATGGAATGGAAAACGCTTGACTGAGGACCACAGAGGACTGCGGTGGCTGGTGGAGGGAACATGTCTGTACATTATTGCCTCAGGAAAGGCAGATAATATCTCCAACAACTCCAGTCCTCCTTAGGCAGATGGTATAGAAACATCAGCACTCGAATCACAATATTCAGAAGAATTTCGACTCTCAAGTCAGAAGGTTGCCGGTTCAAATCCTGTCTTTGGCAGGATAGAATAATTACATCTTTGTTATGCCCTTGAGCTGGGCTCTCAGAGTTGGCATCATGGGGAGAACATTCACAGGTCATCCCCCCCTCCCAAATGAGTCATTGGGCCATTTTATTTTTATTTTATTTTTCTTCTTTTATTTTATCTTTAAATAAAGGCATTCATCCTAAAACAATTAAATAAAAACATCTTGAATATGTAATGTTACAACTTTGACTGGATTCAGATTTTGAACCCCTCCCCCAGTAAGGAGTGCGAACTGTAGAAAGCAATCCAATATACTGTACCTAACAAAGCATCATTTAATTACATGTCATTAGGCTTCTCAACTGCTGCTTGATATGGATCAAAGTACTGGTCAGTTAAACACCACCCCGAATAATTTGTTATTTGTTTCATAGTACAACGGTTTGTGTCATTTTGTGAATTTACTGTTCAGTGCTATTTAGTGTTTTGTGTAATGTATTGTCTTTGTTCTTTATTGTTCCCATGTCCTTACTGACATTGTCTGATGCTGCTTCTTTCTTTTAATGTACTGCTTAATGCACTCTTTTAAAGTACTGTTTAAGGCACTCATTTTAATGTGCTGTGTAATGTACTCTCTTTAATGTACTGTTAACTGACTACGCAAATAGGCATCCCATTGTGCAAAGCACATATATCAATAATCTTGATACTTTCTACTCGGCTCTTGGTTGATTTCTGCTCAACTTAAATTTGCTCTTCATACATATACGGATATTGTCCTACAACTGCTGACTGATAATTTTGTTAGGTGAATTTTCAGCAAAAAAAAGCATAGTAACATCCATTAATATTTATTAACCCCAAAAACATTGCATCAACTTACATCCTCACATTTAACTCACACCCTCTCTAAATATGTGTCACACCATGGGGAGCTCAGACCGGGGAAGCAGGAGAAGGAGACAAAGGATCGAGGAATGAGGGATTTAGTAGGCAATCGGAGAGGCATACAGGGCAAAACAAACTTCACAAAACTTCAATGACAGGACTAGGGAAACATACTCTGGCACAGACTTAAATACTAATGAAAACACGAAACAGCTGATGACACGGTGATTCCACATGAGGTAAACGAGGGGGTGTGGCACACAGGAGGATTGGATGAGTAGGGTGTGACAGAACCTCCCCCCAAAGGCGCGCACACCAGGCGCACCCAAGGGGAGCGAAGGACGGGACCAGAGGGACAAAACCAGGGACTCCACAGGACCTTGGAAGACAAAAACAAGAAAATCAATGAGGCACGGGGAACAGCACGGACACACAGAACAGACACAAGGAGACCAACTCAGACAACATGACATGGAACGCAGACAGACAAAGAGACCCGGGAACCCTAAAGGGGACAACGGAGGAATAACACCAGGGGACAAACTAACTGCAGGTAGAAAGGGACCAGAAGGGAACAGAGGGACAGGGAGCAAACACAGGGGGCACAAAACCAGGGGGCAAGGAAGCGGAGGGAACCCCGGCAGGAGAAAGGCAGAAGCCGCAGGGTCAACAGGTTGACCGCAAGGCCGGAGCAGGAGGGACCCTCGGCGACCACGAGGCAGGAGCCAGAGGGGATGCCAAAGGGGGCGAGGAGGAAGCCGGAGGGACTGACAGAGGGGGCGAGGAGGAAGATGGAGGGGACACAAGAGGCAAGAAGGGAGGCGATGGGGACACCGG